AAAAGCTAATACCTGGAAGAAGCCAAGGGTCTTCCAGAGTTAAAGCCAGGGCTCAAGGAGTCTTGGTGACACTGACTCTTGAATATTAAGCTGTTTTCCTGCAGTGAATTTCTTGCATGCTGTTGTAGCTTTTCCATTCAATTCCTATCTTAGGACAGTATGTCTGTTCATTCATTGGGCACAATTTCCCCTATACAATTAAAGTATTTATATAACTTTCCCCAACTGTGCTAACAACAGACACAGTCAAGATCCCTAATTTCAGGCCTTTCTGTAACTATCGTCATTAGCCAGGGCCTTCTCCAGACGGAAGTGTCTTATCTGAGATACCTCCCAGACTTTCTAAGAACAGACTTAAGCGTCCAGACTATCTGTTTGAGAAGGCCTGGTAGATGTACTAATTAAGCCTAACCTTCCCATTTCCCAAGTCTTAGCTTTAGTTTTAGGTCTACTTTTGACAATTAACTAAGAACTAAAGGGTTTCTACTTACAGGTACATCAAGCTGTGATGCAGGTTACCTAGCTACACTTCCCCTGCCCTGCCAGAAAATGGCAGCAGCCGAGATAGCTTGGACAGATAAGGAATCAAAGGAAAACAAAAGACAGTTTAATTTTCACCCATGACTTAGTGACTTATATATTCTTAACATTTAACTAACCACTTCTAAGAACATAGTTTGAGCACATAAAATCCCTTTGCTTAGACATTAACTGAATTTAGCCCTCAGGTGATTCATTTCCCCATTAGTCACTTCCCTTTTGGGTTGCAGATGATGGCTGGCAATTACTGCTCTTTTGTGTGGATCTTATTGTTGCTCTTTTTGACCCTGAGGAAATTCAAGTCTGGTGACCTTGCCTTAGCCAGAGCATTGTTATTGCGTGGGTATATAACTGTAAACCTCAGAGACTTGGGGAGAACTAGATTTGAGGACTAGAAGAGAGTACTAGAGGATGAGGTGGAAGATGAGGAAGAGACAGGTGGGGAAGAACAAGATGAGGAAAGAGGAGATGGGAGAGGAGCTAAGATGGGAAAGAACTAGATGGATGAGAACCTAGATGGGGCAGAACTAGATGAAGGAGTTAAGACAGCATTTAGAGGGAACAGCAGAAAAATGTAGACAGAAATCAGGCAAGAAAGGAGCTAAATAAGAGAGCAGAATAGAAGCTGTGTAGAGAGAGAACTGACTTAGAAGAATAATGTGAATGGACTGAAGAGTTTTGTGTACATAGGTTTATTAGAGCATCCCTCAGATTAATCCACCGCTGGTAGTGTCTCTTCTGGAACTCTGGGAGAAAGCTATCGAGGGGCTGGACCCCCGCAGTCTTCAATAGATAATGCCATGAATAAAAGCCTCTGGCCAGGTCAGCTTCATCTGATGTGGCTTGTCCTTAAGCCCTGAAGACTTCCGCAGGGTGCTGGGTGTGATCTGGAGTACTGGATAACCCTCTATGAACACACTTGTCTCTCACGGTTCTGGAGGCTGGAGGTCACAAGGTGCTGCCAGGACTGCTGTTGGGGGAAGGTCCCTTTCTAGAACACAGACGGGACACTGAACGTGTTCACATAGGGTTGAGAAGTGAGGCATCTTTCTGGGTTGCTCCTAGAAGGCTATTAATCCTACCCATGAGTCCCCACCCTTGTACCTTATCATGCCTGAAAGCCTTGCCTCCTAACACCATCCATTTCCTTGGGAATGAGGATTTCAAAGCAGTTTTGGGGGAAGGGAGATATCAACATTTAGAGCACAGTACAAATGACATGCCCCAGAAAGAAATAGCAGGTCCCTATGCCAGGCTGTCACCCTATGGTCCTGCCTTTCACACCAACAATCGTGAGAAGTAAAGAAAATTGGAATAAGCCGGTCTGAAAAACTGAATTGAGCCACATGCACCAATTAGTTGTTAAAAACACTGGGCATAAATAGATGTTCTCTTTTGGCAACTTTTCTAGGCCAGTGGGTATTTTAAGCTACTGAGGGAAAAGTGTAAATTTTATTAAGTGGCTGGGATAACAGGAGCATAGATTATAAATTTTCCATATTTTTGTTTTCAGCTTCCAAATAAACTCCAGATCAATGGATCTTTTTTAAATCTAAAACTTAATATAGCTTTCTCTTTGCTCTGTGGAAATAGGTGTCCAGGTGACTGCGCATAATCCTCCAGAAGAGCATTTGTGGCAATCCAACGTCTCGGGCATCGAGCACCATGCCAGCACATGGGCCTGAGGATGTTCTGGCCTTTTCCTCAGCTGACCTGCAGGGCAGAGGACTCAAGGATCCATTACCTACCCTCCTATTCACAGGTAAGAGCAGTTTGCCTACTGCAAAACTTAAGTGGGCAAATGGCTTTCACTGAGGATTTTTTTAAAAAAATCTCTTACTTTTCTGCAATTTATAAAACTGGGCCCTGGATTACACTGGTGCCATCTCAGGGCCCCATGTGAGTTATATTCTCCAGACTCCTGCAGAACTCTCCACTGAACCACCCCCTCCTCCCTCTCTGTCTCTCTCTGTCTGTCTCTCTCTGTCTCTGTCTCTCTGTCTCTCTGTCTCTCTCTCTCTCTCTCTCTCTCTCTCTCTCTCTCTCTCTCGTCTGTGTGTGTGTGTGTGTGTGTGTGTGTGTGTGTGTGTGTGTGTGTGTGTGTGTGTTTGCCAGCACTAGTGGTGGAAACAGGACCTTTGAAGGCAAGCATTCTGCTACCAAGCTGCATCTCCAGCTCTGTCCTGATACTGTCTCGGGCTACAGTAGAGATGCTGTAAGACAGATGAGGAGAAACTAACAGTGCGGTTATGGGATGCTGCAGGATCTAGCAGCTTTTGGCAGAGTCAAGTAGGGATCCCAGCTACAGTGCTGGATTTACCTGAGGCAACAGATGCCAGAGGCTAAGCCAGAGTTCTTATCTGGAGAAGCCTAGGGTCCAGGCTTGGAACCCCACACAACACTTCTCCCTGGTACATTACCTGCTGCTCCTGAACACACGCACATGGCATCTCTAGAGTCCAGTGGCTTAGAAACAGAAACATAATTGATGTTCTGTGTCGGGTTCATGATGTCAAGAGAAACCAAGTTCTCTTTCAGACACAGTTTCCTACATCTGTCTCTTGACAAGAAAGCTGCCGACATGTGAGTGTTCACAACGTAAGGATCAAACACTGTGAGCTCTAGAAAGCTGGCAACTTGTTGATAATTGTTAAGTTTTGATGCTCAGTGTCATTTACATGAGTTATGAAGGGAAACAGTTCGAATTTATGGAAATTGTGAATCACTGAGATATTTTGTAAATGTGGCTTATGGTTTTTAAGTCCTCACAATGAAACAAACTGAGTGTTCGAGAATTGTTGAGTCAAGATTTTATCCACAATACTTTAAGGACCAAATTTTACCTGTAATTCTCATATTAAAATGTGTTATTACAAATAGATCTTGCCAATGTATTTGAAAACAGCTTGCTGTTCTATGTAAGAGTAATTTTATTTGTAAAATGTTTAACAAACATTTTCTCCCGTAAGAACACAAATAAGGGATGGAGAGACCACTCTGAGGTAAGAGCTCTTCCAAAGGTCCTGAGTTCAATTCCCAGCAACCATATGTGGCTCACAACCATTTGTAATGAGATACAGTGTCCTCTTCTGGCCTTCAGGCTTACATGCAGGCAGAACACTGTATACATATAAATAAATGAATTTTTTTTAAAAAAAGAACACAAATCATTACAATAGCAAACAGAGTGGGTGCTTACTAGGTAAAGGCATTTAGCCAACCACTGGCATGGCCTAACCTCATTTCATACTCCCAACCATGAGACAGATTGTTTGTGGGGAAGTTAGAGTCTTTGGAACTATAACTTCCTAAAGTTTCTATTTTTTGAGGTCTCATTTATCTATACCTACAAGATTCCCATCAATAAGTGTTTTTAAGAGTCCCCCATACCCCAGGTTACCCTCCAACTTGCTATGTAGCTAAGGATGACTTTCAACTTCTGCTCCTCCTGCCTCTACATCTTGATTGGTAAGATTACAGATGTGGGCCACCACACCCAATTTGTGCAGTGCTGGGGACTAAACCCAGGGCCTTGTGCATTCCAGGCAAGCACTTCACAAATGAACTGTATTCCTAGCCCCACATCAATGAACTTTGACAAACTCATGCAGTCATATGACCACGGTGAAATAGCCTTTCTGTGCTTCTACAGCCAATATGTCCTCCTGCAGCCTGGACCTCACTGATAGACTGCACACTCTGTGTTGATGGGACTGGCTTCTTTCACTTCAGCTGGTACTGTTGAGATGCCCCATGTTGCATGTGTGTTTGCCTTGGTCTTTCATTTGTAGAGGTGGAATACAGTGTTTATCTTTGCATCAGCTGATGGACATTTGAGCTGACTCTGGTGTGTGTGTGTGTGTGTGTGTGTGTGTGTGTATGTGTGTGTGTGTGTAACGTGTGTGCTGAGTAAAACTACTATAAATGTCCACATGGAGGTATCTGGTGGACATACATTTTAGGTCAATATTTAAGAGTGGAATCATTAGGTTCAAGGTAAGTGGATATTTGCCTGTATAAAATATGTCCCAAAGCAGCTGTGCCACTTTGTATTCTCACCAACCATGAAGGAGGGTCTAGTATACCTTGCCTTTGTCAGCTTTTAATAACAACATTTTAGTCTTAGCCACTGCAGGAGCCATGCAGTGCAATCTCATTGTTTTTAATTTGCATTTCCTAAATTATTAATGATGTTAAGCATCATCTGTGTTCTCCTACCTTCCTCCCTTAAAATCTTTTCCCCCTCCCAATCAATAGTCCCTTTAGAGTCTCCTGGATTCTACCCATACTCAAAGTCAAACATACAAATCTAAAGATTTGATACTAAAGCTCCACATATGAGTGAGAACATTTGACATTTGTCTTTCTAGGTCTGGATTTCATCACTCATTATGTTTTCTAGTTCTAGCCATTCACCTACAGATTGCATCTTTCTGGATAGCTGAATAAGAGTCCATTGTGATGGAGGCTGCAGAGCCAACCATGTAGACAAATGAGAAAATATCTTTTGTCTGCAGTGGGCAACAACCCTACATAAACATGAGATCTCTGACCATCCCTTTCCATACGTTTTAAATTGCCACTCTAAATATTGTTTTCCTATTATTTAGTTCAATATCTTTGCTGATAAAGTGTAATAAGATTATAAAAGCAAACAGAAAATCAAGTAAAGCTACTTCTCCAACCCCACCCTCCCCCAAATTCCACTGTGTATAGATACCATATTGTCATTATCCATTCGTCAGTGACGGACATCTGCTCTGTTCCCATGTCCTAGCTACTGTGAAGAGAGCATCAGTTAAATGCGTACGCAGGTCTCTCTGCAGCAGGAAATGAGTCCTTTGAGTATACAGTCAGAAGTGGTATGGGTGGAACCGACAGTGGCTCTCTTTCTAGTTTTCCGAGGGACTGTCACACTGATATCCATAGCGGCCGCAGCAACAGAGCATGGTGTTCCCCATTCCCCAGGGCCATGTGAGCATTTTTTGTCTTTTTTTTCTTAGTCATTCCACCTAGAATGCGTTAAAAAAAATCTCAAAGTAGTTTCAATTTGTGTTTCCTTGATGGATAAAGACGGATACTTTAAAAGTACTTAGTCATTTGCATTTCTCCTTCCGAGAATTTTCTGTACAGTTCAATAGCCCAATTTTCAACTGAGTTGTGTGCTTTGCTGGTGTTCCGTTTTAAGTTCTTTGTATATTCTAGACATCAGTCCTCTGTCGGATGTGTGCATGGCTGACAAACTTTTTATCCAGTACGTAGGCGGCCTCGGCACTTGACGGTCCCTTTGCAGTGCAGAAGCTTATTAATTTCATCAAGTCCCACTTGATGGCTACTGGTCCCATTTCCTGGTTGATCAGAGTCCTCCTCGGGAGGCCTTTGTATGAGCATCTATCCTTAAGTGTATTCCTTACTCTTTCCTCCAGAAGTTTCAAGGTTTCAGATCTGACATTGAGACTTTTGATCCATTTGGAATTGATTGGGGGTAGAGGGTGAGAGAGAAGAATCAAGTCTCATTTTTCTATATGGAGCTAACCAGTTGTCCCAATACCTTTTATTAGGGCATCTTTTCTCTAATGTATATTTTTGGCATCTTTGTTAAAAAAAAAAAAAAACAACTCAGTGGCTGTGGGTGAGTGTACTTATATCTCGGTCCTTGATTATGCCCCCCCAATCAATGTGACTGGTTATGTGCCAGTACCATGTTGTTTTACTACAATGACTTTGTGGAAACTTGAAATTAAGAATACTAATACTTCCAGCACAGTTTTTATTGTTCAGGATTGCTTTGACCACCTACGGTCTTCTGTGCTTCCACATAAATTTTTAAATTTTTTTTTCAATTTCTGTGAAGGATTCCATTGGAATTTGTATGAGACTGTAATGAATCTCCAGATTGATTTTGGTAGGTGGCCATTTTCACAATATTAACCCTACCAATCCATGTACATGGGCAGTCTCTCCCTCCTCTAGTGCTTTCTTCAAATTCTTCAGTGTTTTATAGTTCCAACTGTATAGATCTTTCACTTCCTTGGTCAGGCTTGTGTATGTGGTGGGTTTGGGAGGTTGTTTGGGTTTTTATTGTTTTTTGTTTTGTTTTCTATTGTTAATGGGATTGTTTCCCTAATTTCTTTCTCAGTCTATTTGTCATTGGTATATAGAGAGGCTACTGAGTATGTTAATTTTGTAACCTACCACTTTGCTGAAAGTGTTTGTTAGCTCTAGGAGTTTCCTGAGGGAGCCTTTAGGGTCTCTTGACATCTGCAAATAAGGATACTTTGAATTCTTCCTTTCCTGTTTGTATTATCATTTTAAATACAAGTATCCAGTTGCTCAAACACCATTTGTTGAAAAGATGATTCTTTTCCCATGGAAATACCCTGATGTCTGTGTAAAAATCAATTGACCAAAAAGTCAGGGGTCTCTTCTTGTTCATTCCATTAGCTAATGTGTTTATTTTCATGCCAATAGCAAACTGTCTTAATTACTAAATCTCTATGCATGACCTTGACATGCTCAGTATGGGTTTTCCCACTATATTCTTGCTTTACCAAACTGTGGCTCTTCTGAGTCCTTTGCACATCCACATGACTTCAATAGTCATCTTGACACATTCTATGAGAAGAAACCCTACAGTCTTGACTTGTGGTGCACTGGGTCTCTTTGAAAAGGCAGTGCCTTCACGTGTGAGTTTTCTGAACTCTGACTTGAGAACTTAAAAACAAAGGGTTCCAGGGTGGCTACACCAGCTGTCAATCCCACCAACGGTGACGAGGGTTCTCCTCCCCTTTCCCACAGCCTCATCAGCATTTCTTGTCGGTTGTTTTGTTATCACAGCCCCCATTCTGGCTGGGGTGGGGACGAAGTCCTCCCAAACATCCTCCTGATTGCTGAAGATGTCCAGCACTTCCTGAGACATTTCTTAACTACTTTTCTTTCTTTTCTCGGTCCAGCTCCACAGCCCATTCTTTAACTGGGTCATTTATTTTCTTGACTTTGTTTAGTGATTTATATATTCTGAATAGTAACCTTCTGTCAGACAGGTAGCTGGCAAAGATTCTCTCCCACTCTGGAGGCTTCGTTTTCACTCAGTTGACTCGGCTGCACAAAAGCTTTTTAGTTTTTTTCAAGTCCCATTTGTCAACTACTGTCCTTAATCCCCGAGTGGAGTCCAATGCAGAAAGTCCTTCCCTACATCTATATCTTGTAGGTAGGGTATGGTGGTATTTTATTTGTACTGAAATGTGATTTTAATTGTATGTTAATAAATAAAGTTGCCCAGAGGTCAGAGCTATTAGAGCCATAGCAAGAGCGTGGCGGTGGTGGCGTACGCCTTTAATCCCAGCACTTGGTAGACAGAGCTAGGTAGATCTGTGTGTTCAGGGATACAGCCAGCATTGGAGACACATGCCTTTAATCTCAATACCAACCATAGAAGACCTGGAAGTCTCTACAGACAGGCAGTGACGAGGCAGTCATGTGTTTGGGTTTACAACCAATGAGAAGGCAGAACAGAAAGACTACATAAAAACTTTAACACGGCCGGGCGGTGGTGGCGCACGCCTTTAATCCCAGCACTCGGGAGGCAGAGCCAGGCGGATCTCTGTGAGTTCGAGGCCAGCCTGGTCTCCAAAGCGAGTTCCAGGAAAGGCGCAAAGCTACACAGAGAAACCCTGTCTCGAAAAAACCAAAAAAAAAAAAAAAAAAAAAAAAACTTTAACACAGGAAGTAGCTCTCTTTCAGAGAGGTAGGACCATCGCAGGAGGAAGGGTAAGGTTTTAGCTCTTAGCTCTGACCTCTTGGCTTTCTTCTCTGAATCGGCTCTGTGTGTCTTATTTAATAAGACGGTTGGTTACATCTACAGTAGGGCCTATGTATTCTTCTGGCAGTCTCAGTGTTTCAGGTTCCAAGTTTTTATTGCTTTGGTTGTTTTGTTGTTGTTGTTGTTATTGTTGTCATTGTGTGTGTGTGTGTGTGTGTGTGTGTGTGTGTGTGTGTGTGTGTACGTGTATATGTGTGTATACCATGGCATACATGTAGAAATCAGAAGACCACTTATGGGAACGTTTTCCTTCTACGACTGGATCAAGGATCAGACTCAGACAGTCAGGCTTGGCAGCAAGTGTCTTTACCCTCTCAGCCATTCGTCAGTCCATGAGTATTCTTTATGAAGAATTATTTTCTCCCTCAACAGTGTTCTGTAGCTTTCAGTATGCAAAACTTGCACCTATTTTATAAAACTTACTGTTTAGTGTCATTGGGTGTTATGACATATTAAGTTCAAATTTTTGTTATCAGTATAAATATAACTGACTTTCCTATATTTACCTTACATCCAGCAACCTTGCTAAACGTCTTAGTCCCACTAAATTGTTCCAGCTGCCTTCCGTGGCACGGTATCGGATCCTCCCAGGGGACACCTCAGATCTCCTGTTCTTGCTGTGGAACTATCGGTGTCTTCGCCCCAGGTGCAGCTTTTGCACGTTTGCTGCGTGTATGTCACCTGCTAAGGACTATGATGGCGGTGTTTTCTGAAGTTTCCTGGTCCTCTTGTCCATCTTTCATAATGGAGGAGGCCCTGAAGACCTGGGCCACCAGGGAGGCCACAGTCAGCCTTAGTGGAGGAGGCTTGGGAGAGGATGACTCCCAACCTCCCCTAGGGGTAAGCTGTCTTCTCTTCTTCAGCTCAGGATATGCATGCCAAGTTTCCTGACTATCTAAGCAGTGGGTGGTACTTGGCTTCTACCTTCCTTCAGTCTCTGTGCACCTTGCCTTAATCCAGTAGTTGAGCAATGGCCGTTACCTTTTCCTAAATACAGAGTCCATAGCTGCAACAGGGATGTCTCCCTGATCTTATCAGAGTGGCTGTCTTTAATTTCTACAACCTCTAAGTAGTTCCTTCTCCCCCTAACCCAGAAGATTCTGGTTTTGCATCATATGAGAGAACATTTGGGAGCTGGATGGAAGTTCATGCCTCTCTTCCATAGAGGGGTACTCTTTCAGGCCCTGTCTTTCTCCTGCTCCCTTGCCCACACAGTCAAGGCCAGTGGAGAAGAGCTACAGACAAGCTCTGGAGACCAATGGGGACTCCCTGTATTAGGAACTCTGGGGCTCTAAGATGGTGCAGAGCCCATACTCAGCTGTGGTCTTTTTTATTCTCCATGATGGTGCTATGCCTGCCACTATCCTGGCCACAGCTGAAATCACCGTGCCATGTGATTCTCACACTAGACAGCATCCTTCAGGATTTTAACAGGTTCAAGAAACACCACCTCCTTTTAGATCACCTGGCTCTTTCTTGTTGTTAGCCATGTTCACTTAGAGCTTTCTACACCCTAAGCTAAATCAGAACACCATTTTCCCTACAAAGTGAAAATAAAGTTCCCAAGGACTAATAAACAGAGGTTCTCCTAACTCATAATTCTGAGTTAGTTTTTCACCCTTCACCAATCTCATTTGCAAATTCACATCCCTCCATGGCAACGCCTGAGTCACAGCTCAGAACCTCAGTCTCTAGAGGTCTTTATGAGGAAGTCAGCAGCTGATGCTATTTGCTAAAATTACCCATAGG